ATTTTTGGTTATCTTCTTAAAATCAGACGAAGAGAAGTGCTGATTAAGTAAGTTAAAGTCTAACTGGTTACATAATTGATTAGCAACTAACTGCAGATGTTATTGTTACGACTATATAATTAGTCACCACGAACAAAATTTCTTACTTACATCCCACAAAGTTAAATCTACTTTTTGTTAAGTTTTATTCTGTACAATGTTATAGATCTGTTTGCAAGCAGGACGTATATTTGTTACAAGAAATTCAATTATTGCCATCTATGTGCCTGGCATCGTGCCAACGTACCATTGATACGTCGCCGTTTCCGCTCAGAAATTAATATTTTAATTTTATGGTACACTACACAAGATTTAATAACAACTATTTTACTTTCAATACAAATGGATTCCCAAGAATTTGTAAAATGTTTTACGTAGCTTTTTATAAAAGTATCATCGATTTATTTGTTCGTATTTTCACCTCCCCTTTCTGCAAACATATTGCATAAGCCGAACTTAATGCCACAGGCATTTTCTTACAGTCAAACCTTTGGGTGTTGCAAAGCTGTGTGTGGCATTTGTATACTTGGAACAATTAAGGCCGAGAATAAATTGAAGAATGTTACAAACCTGACCTGACCTTGTTGAACAATTAACAAAATGAATGACGAAAACATTTTTAGTTATGATCTTTTACTTCAAATGAATTATTCCTCAATATCCAATATACATAAAATTAGAGATATTAATAAGTTAGATAGATAAACATATTGGTATAACACACTTATACATATAGGTAAAAATATAGGGTGTTAATTACAGAAGCATTCATGAATGGATGGTTTCAATCGGTTACAATTACGAAAGTGTTTTTTTTTGTAATTTCTGTTGTTCAAAATCTTCTATTATGTCTTCAAAGTCAATTTTTTTGAGGATATCATTTCCTATACACATAATTGATAAATAGATAGTAGTCGCTCTTGTAATGTCGATGTTCGTATTTCAATTTTTTTTCGCTTCAGCTTTGAAAATGAGCGCTCTCCGTTGCACTTGGTAATCATTAGGCATAGAAACATTCTTGTAGCAACTTGAACATTTGGAAAAGTTTATTCTAATCTATTGAACTTTAATAAATTATGTAAGTTTGAGATACTCAAATCTGCTGATTCCTTTGCTATATTCTTTAAATACTACCTTAAATGAAAACACTCTGGTTTGAGCTCATATGCATTAATGTCTCTGTGATAGAATCCTTTAAATACATTTCATTTTTTTGTCAAGTCGTCAGAATCAATTGTTGTTAATTGTAAAAGATAACTAAAATGATTGTGAATTTCTTAATATGCTGCCAAATGATTTTCGAAATGTGCATATAATGTGTCTATTATAGGGAACAATGTATCTATACCAATTTTTTCCTTCCCATGCAACTGAACAGTCTATGATGATCCTACAAAAAAAGTGACACGTATGCTGCGAATTCTATTCATTTCAGATTTATCTTTATAGTCAACTTTATAATTTTTTTCTTTCGCAGCTAATGCTTATTCATACTCATCAAAATTATTGCGAGCGTTGTTGTCGTACTCGATGAGAGATGCGTAGAGTTTTGTTACAACGGCCATGGTCATAGTGCTATCCTGTAAGTTGAAGCTTGTTTTGTTTATATTTTCACAAAAAGTATTCAATATTTCTGTCAAAGTCAAATCTATATTAAAAACCTACAAAAAAAGTAATGGGCGTGATAAAATAACAGTCATCGTCACATCGACCTACCTAAATCTGTCAAAATACCCATTTTCATTGAGTACATAATTGTGTGTCACATAATTTGTGAGTGTGAGTGACATAATTTAAAGATAGATATTAGGTTAAAGAAAACATGAAATAGATATTGATAATATTTATTGGCCGTGTGGTGACGGATTAAGAATACGGAGTGTCACCAACCCTATTCTGCTCATGGGTATCGTAAGCGCCGCCTAAAGGAGTAAACTACGCAGGACAAAAACACTGCAAAGAGAAGGAAACCTTGACACAAACCCTATACCAACCCGTCTTGCCAGCGTGGTATAGTAGGCCAAAGCCTCCTTTCTAAGGAGAGGCCTATGTCCAGCAGTGGCCTATTAAAGGCTGTTGTTGAATATTTATTGACTATTTAAATAATAGTAATATAGTCTCGTGAGTTGTTTATACGAATTTCTTTTCGGAAGTCCTATACGATTAACTTTCAATTTGTCTCAACCACCTTCTTTCTCCCAGCCATCTTTCGTAATATGGTTACACGCATCTGTTTTAAGGCTCTTTTTTTTTGTATTAAATGATTTAATTTTTGAATAAAGAATTAAAATGTAGAGGTGTCTGGAGTTGGTAACACGCGACATAGCTATATAAAGCTAACCGCATGACAAACATAAACTCACTGGAAATTTATATTAATGCATACAAAACAGAAATTTGTCTAGAATAGCAGGGATCCGTGGTATAAAACCACTTTCCAGTTAAAATCTCTGCTTTATAATGGAATCGGGTCTAAATATTGTTATTTTTAGGCCAACTTTTAAATTTATCTGTTTCATAAATCGCTATTTCCATCCGTGCCCATAAAAAAAGGATATGAGTTTAGGTCTCGGGATACTTAAATGTTCACATCTTTTTGTAAGTATACGTTTCAAACAATTTTGTCTTGTCGTTGCCTACGATTCGCACCACCCTCTCATACAATAAGCCCTTTATATAAGCGCTTGATATGTCTGTTGTGTGTGTATTTGAACAAAAAAGTACTTTAAAATAATAAAGCGCCACCAAATGTTTCTACCGCGTTACGGTTTGGCATAAGTCATTAATACACAAAAAATACTCGTAGCGTGAAATGTTTGCATAATTGATATGTGTATTTAAAAGGCATATTGAATTATATAAATCGTCATTACAGTACAAGTCTCAAAATTATAAGTCAAGTATCAAAATTATAAAAATTGAAATCAGTTGTTTTTTTTTCAATAATTAGCTTGTAAAATTATTAAAAGAACGCTATAGATCTGATGTTGACTACAATGGAAAACTGTGTGAATGTATTTTCAACAGTAGGTACTTTTTTAGTAAACAATAAAAAAACCTTTATGAGTATCGACACTGATCAATTTTCCAGACTAAAGTTGACACTTTCAATTTGTCATCATAATCATATTCCTGTGATTGATGAACATAGATTTCCTCGATTCGTTTTATACATCACTGCTAGATGCTTAGATTTATACTTCTTTAAAGGACAATGGCAGGCACCCATACATCATTTTATTTGAATTGAAATGGCAGCGTTTAAATATCAAAAATGCCTAAAACACTTGAGAATTTATTATTGACCATTCTCATAAGAAAATTACTAACGAGACAAGTCTAGGAAAAAAGATATAGGATTTTGATCATTTCGAGGTTAAGTACTAACATATTGTCAATATTTTGTTGGAAACTAGATGGCGTTGTGTAGAAAGTGTCGAATAAAATTATATTTATTATTGTTACTCATAAACAATAACATAAACAAGTCCGTGTAGTGACGGATTAAGAATATGGAATGTCACTACCCCTATTCATCCCGTGGGTGTCGTAAGAGCCGACTAAGGGTGCAAAACAACGCAGGACACCAGCACCTCAAAAAGAAGGAAAACTTGACACAAACCCTATACCAACCCGTCTGGCCAGCGTGGTATAGTAGGCCAAAACTTCCTTTCTAAGGAGAGGCCTATGTCCAGCAGTGGACTATTAAAAGCTATTGATGATGATTAACAAACAACCCTATTTTGCTGCTGAAAGTGTTAACCGGCTCTCTAAAAGTTATTTGCTTGGCATGTATTTGTAAAAACACTAGAAAACGTCTTTGCTTACCAAACTGATTTAAAACTAGCTATGAATAAATAATAAATAAATTAATAATAATAATTCAAAGAAATGTACTTAAATACACATTTACACAAGGCAGAAGCAATGTTCGTGTGAGTCATGAGTGTGAGTTTCAAGCGACGACGTATTGACATTTTGAAAATACCGATGCATGTCTATTTATGTGCCGTTATCATCAAGTATCGTCACTATATTTTATTTATATTTATTTGTATGTATTGATATTTATTTAGTGTAACAAAAATCGTTTAAAAAAAGACAAAATATTCTAAATTATTTCTAATTATGTTGATTTAGTCACTCTACCGTACGAGCGAACTCGGGGGCAGAAGCAAATTCATAATCATAAAAGGTGAACTTTCAGTAGGTATTTCAGCCAAAGCTATAAAAATCAATTATCGATAAAACGTTGCCAAATATAATAATGACATCACGCATCCTTAGTCAATTGATACATGATGCCTCTGTCAGTTATACGTGATAATCTGGCATTACGTACTTAGCTCAAATGAGTTCTTTCTAAAATATCCTATCTCTTCTAAGACTTATATAACACATAGTGGTATAATAATAAATCATAGAAAAAAATATTTATTAAGTTTACCGTACGTCCATTTTGTAAACGCTTAAGTTTTAGGTAAATATGTTTCTGCCATTGGTCTTTGCGTATCGTTAACACAATACATATATACCTACTTCTATCGTCGAATCCTAATTTAGGTAGTAAATAATAATTTGTTTCCTTGCATGATCTATAAGTGAATAAGTTAAGAGTCACTCAATTGAATACAAAGTTTCTACCTTGCAAAACAGGTAATAATTATACTTATTAAACTTTGAGATGTAAATGAATTTCACAACAGATCTATAACTTGGAAATTACTTAAATGCAAGAAAAACTTTGAGTTTGGCTTCCGACACGATCCGAATAGATTATCTTGAATCTCAGCAGAGTCTCAGTCAGAAATTAAAACAAAACAATTAAAATCTGTCCATAGGACACCCATACATACGTAGGTGCATAGGCCTTCCTTAATGGCCACTTCCAAATTATCCTGCAAGATTCGATTAGAAATTACTTATTAACTTAATGATTATTACATTCCCTATTGTTGCAGTGTGTAACATCACAATCGACTCGAGGATTCTCAAGAATAAATCTGGCAAGACTTTTGGTCAGATTAAATCGCCTTCTATTGAGGGTCCTGGCGCCTGTTCTTACTTCCTACAGCCGGACGCAGGACAGAGAGTCGAGATACAGCTGTACCGGCTCGTTTCTGTCGGGAAGTTCAATGGGACAAGGTATGTGAATATTTGTTGTAAGCCTATTAATCTATCGGTAAATTTTAAATTTTAAAATGAAAAATATGTTTTTTAAACATTACTACAATTTATTTTAATTTCATTTATTTCATTACGTAATGTATATTATTATAATCTGCATCTGTTTGATTTTTAGTTTCCTATTGTTAAGCAAAATAACAAGGCGGTTCTTACTATCTGGTTTCCACGAAAATACTCGTACACTTTGTTCTGAAGGTCATATTTCTACTCCAAGTTATTTTTAGTTTTAAGCTTGTTTTATTGACTTTTTTTTTAAAAAGACAACGCCCTACAACACAACGGACAACGGAATATATCCTGTATCACGGGGGACTTTACAATCATACATGAAACGGACACAAAGAACACCCAGACTCAGAACAACAATTTGTGGATCACACAAAGTGTCGTCCCATGTGGGGTTTGAACCCACAACACTCGGCGTAGTACGAAGCGGCGTGGCGACCGCTTAAACCACTATGCCATCTGTGCAGTCAAGTTTTAGTACTATGTCTAGAGTGAGCTTGGGCTCTCGGATTGCTTGGTCAAGTATAAGAATTGGTATTTGAGAAAAGTGAAAGTAATTATCACTTGTGTGTGTTTTTATTTATACATTTTTATTTATATACTTGTTTAGAGTTAGTAAAAAGGAAGGGAGTTTAGGGAACAAAAACCATAATACGTTAAGACTAGGAGTCTTGCTTCTTCAAGTAGTGACATTGCCACAAATAGTAGTAAGATCTCACTGTTACTTAATTTGTTAACTAACTACATATTACAAAGATCGTATTAACATAAGACATAATTACAATGGCCAATAATAAACTAAAAATCAATTATAAAGTTAGATTTTAGTTTGAAGTTATTTACGTATGTGAACAATATTTTGTTTTCAATATAGTCGCGATATCGTTATTATGCTCTGAATAGATTTTTAAATTATATTCTATATCTACATGTACTAGGACATTAGGAGTATAGGGCTTTAGTCCAAGTAATATTCTTGAACCAAAAAAAAATAATAGATATTACAATTGTATTAAATTATATGGTTGTGCAGATATTAACCAAGCCAAAGGAAGAGAGAGAGAGACAATAATAATATAACATGACATATAAGGACACTTAAAGTAACAGCTTTTAAACTGTAATGATTTATACAAAATTATGTATACGTATATGTGTAGAGACCACAGCCAGTACCATATACATACGTACGGTGCTGACTATTGTAGACACACCACTCAACGGCACATCTAAAAGGATTCATTTAATTATTATTTTTTATATGACTGTGTAAAACGACTTTATTTGGGTGGTTTCCGAATTGTCAGTAAAAATATATTAAAATTAAATGTCAAATCGGACAAGTTGCCGAATATGTTTGAGTTTTATTCGTCAGCAAACCAAAACGCCGGGTAATAATAAATAAGGTATGCTATAGCGTAGTCGCTTATATCGTTTTGTTTTAGTTGCGTGATAATCGTACTGCTACTAATTACTAATACTGTTCACACTTGCTGTTTCTTGTCTGAGTAGATTATAGTTCGAAAGAACATTCGATTTAATTTAATACTTAAGAACTATTTTTATTTTATTTAATACTTAACTACTTAAAGTAACGACAAAAACAAAATATATTCTTCCTCTTTGATGTAAAATAAGATTGCCTATCAGCGTAAAATTATTACAAGTATTTAATTACAAGAATGGAAGAACTTGCTAAACGTAAACATATTTGAGTTTCGAATAAGTTAGTTCACTATTATATTAGGCTGAAATGTCCTATAAAGAATGTGTATGGTTATTTTTTTTTATGGAAGAGAGGGTAGACGAGCAGACGAGTCACCTGATGGAAAGTGACTACCGCCGCCCATGAACGTCTGTAACTCAGAAGACAAATTAAATGGTCTTAAATATAAAAAATAAATATTTTAAACTTTAAGACCTCCGGTTTTGGAACGAAGTTCCTTATCGCGCGTTGTGAAAGGGGAGGGGCTAAACGGAAAAAATTCTCACGAAAAGTTGTAACGACACTTTTATGTCAGTCATTCAGCGCCATCTATCGAATAGATAGGAAATCATTACTTTTCATCTCAGTATTTATTTTGAATTGTCACTTGTCAGTCATTCAGCGCCATCTATCGAATAGATAGAAAATCATTTCTCAAGGAGATTTTACCAATGTATAAATTGTTTTAATTAGAAACCAACTGAAAAATATGTAGGTAATAGCCGCTTTCATAGATGGCGTTGTAATTAAAATCGTGTCGAATCAGTTTTACTCGATCGTCACAACTTCGTTCCTATCGGGTGTCCCACGACACCACACGGCTTTTTTGTTTCTTACTAAACAAGTGAAATAGCTCTTCACATGAAAAGTAACTTCAGTATGAGATGGTTCCATTACAATACATATAGTGACTAATTAAATGGGATAATTTGGAATGAAATTAATGCCACCCATAATAGCCTATGCAATCAGGTGCAAACAACTGATTTACCTCAATGTATAGATGTGTTATTAAACTAATAAAATGTGCCATGTAATTTAATTAATTTATGAGATGGTGAAATTTAAGGAGTATCAAATCAACGATCTTGTTCCATTTTATAGTTAGTTTAGTTTAGTTATATTAGTTAATTCATTTTAATGTCTTTACAGCAGACAAAGTGAAATAATGAGAGTATATTATGAGGATTACACACTCTATACGGTTGCTAAATATATTAGTTGAGTTCTAGTAAACCTATTCTCAAGCTAAGACTATACTGTCGTGATGTTGTGCGTTTTAATACTTTAGTAATCAACTTTAATGTGTTAGGCAATCATAATCTATTTACTAAATATTTTTCATACGCACTTGTTACACTTAATTTTGAGGATTTAGATATAACAAATATAATTCTAACCATATTTTTCTCATGCGGTCCTAATTTGCGACCCAAAGAAGTAGCAGACTGTAAATATTTGCCACGTTAAACACTTATAATATGAAATATATTGAGCGGTATGCGAACGGTGGAAAAGAATCGGGTGTGATGGGTCCGACGCCGTCGTACACACGTTGCTATGATCAATGTCCCGACAAATTTAATATTCCCAACGACTCGTCTTACCGTAGATATCTCGATATAGGTATTTATATTTTTGCGTATGTATCCCGCGGGTGTCGCAAGGACAACAGCCCTGCGAAGAAAAGGGAAACTCGACACAAACCCTACAGCAACCCGTCTGGCCAGCGTGGTATAGTAGCCCAAACTTTCTTTCTAAGAAGAGGTCTATGTCCAGTATGGGACTGTCAAAGTCTGTCTATGATACTTTTCATTTATTTATTTTGAGTCTCCAACAAACGCTACTAGTACACATAGTAATATCACAGTATATTACGAACATTAGTAATACCAATTATAGTGCACTTACATACCAACACAAGGCACAAAAAAAAATCAATAAACTACTCGAACATTATAACTTGAATCTTACAAAATTAAAAAATAACACTAAAAAGTAATTTACCCAAAAATAATTAATATATAAAACAGTTTTAAGTTTAAGTTATTTTTATTAAAAAAAATCGTGGGTTATTTGTGTTTTTTGATGTGTGCGATCTGTCCTCTCACTTATTTACAATTTGTGGAATTGATGTAATTAAAAAGGACGGAACCATGTAACAGAAAGCTGGAGAAGCGCGCTATTGGACTTGACCAATAAAGTTGGCCATATACCTTAAGTATACAATAGGTTAGATGGTATTACATAACATAATTATACGTACTGCCGTAACGTTCGCTCGTTTGTTTTTAATTATGTGAAATGTTTCGATTTTGAAGTGATGCGTGTTCTAGTTTTGACTAAACCATACCACGGTATAATTATAATACAGTAGTGTAACTCGGCCGCATGATAGAAATAAATGCCTACAGCCGCGCGGTACGTAAACATGCGTTAGGGCTGCCCGTTTCCAGTATTTTAATTATATTTGCCTACTTTCTGTTTCTATTTAGATTTGTGATTGTAAATATCCTTTTTATATAAATAAATGAAATACTTTGTATATTGAATAGGAAGTGTTCAATAAAAATGCGTGTTGTTTTTTGATTGGTAGATTTCATTATTTTATTTTCTTTCTGCATTGGAGAAGTTTAAGTTTCAATTTTCTTTTTCTTGGAGTGTTGCTAGAGAGACTCGTTGAGGTTTGAGCAAAGATTTAATTTGTTGCATTTTCAGTCTGTGTACTATTTTCATTTCCTACCAACGGAACAGTTTGGGTTTGTTTATCTTCTTTTAGAGAGACTCCTGGATCAGTACTAGCTAAGCTTGGCAGCATCAACAATGGTAGGGCATTCTTTTTTTAAAGTTTTCTATTTGATGAATGTAATACATCCTCCAAATTAAAATGTTTTTCACAAACTTGGTAGGAACTAAAGTTAGGTTTGTTTTCCAAATCATCTCGCCGGATCAGTTGCAACCATTGAAGACGTCTGAAAAAGAAAATACATGTGGCACTCTCGGAGACTGCCGCGGTAAAGCTATTGCATAACATTTCTTTTTTTTAAAAGAAAGAAATCAGCGTGGTGTCAGGTATTTTTCGTTAGGTTTTGAGAATTTCTTGATTCGGTCACCGCGCCGCGCCGCGCTCAGAGCCCGCGATAAAAGCTATGCAATAGCTTAAAAATCCTTCTTTAGAATAAAAAGAATGTGCTTTCTCCTTACGCGTTACAAAACTCCAATCCTTAGAAACTCCAACACCTACCTACTCAACTAGAATGCAAGAAACAGCTGACGAGTAAGTAACTTTTTATCTCAGCTTATTAACGTCTCTATAAATTAGGTACCTACCTACAACTCGCAACAACTCAAAACAAAAATTCTTTGGTCAAAAAATTAATTAATTATTAAAAAGCTGAACAGCTGACTACGAATGTTTTAAAATCACTACCCTCAAAAATCTAAATATTATATATGAGTCTAGCTGTTGTTGTTAATACAGAGAAAATAAAACCAGTTTTTAGTGGTATATGTTGTTATAGTAGCAGCAGAAACACTTTGTGAAAATTTCGAAAACTATCTAATGACACACAGACGGTAAAAAAAATATTCTAGTATTATTCATACACACAGATAATAAACAAATATTATTAATAATAAAATACCACGTCTTTACTTTGAATTATGCAAACCCACATGCACCGAAGTTTAAACACAAGCGTAAGTAGGTAGGTACCTACCGTATCATGATTCATTCAGAACCGCATATAACTACCTATTTCACTCGTCTCAATAACTTTCCGTTACTCTATTCGCTTTATTTATTAATCCAAACACCTTTTTTTTCGTGAGATAAAAGGAAATACTTATCCATTAAAAAGACACACATGTACGTACCTACTAGTAAGTAAAATTATTTTATAGTCTTACCTTTCAGAGTTTCCACGTAATTTAAAAAAACTTATGTCTGTCTGTCATACTAACTGATTTTTAGAGAAAAAATCGGGCGGTTATTGTTAAAAAAACAACACACCGTCCGTTCAACACTGCGGTACAGCCGTGACTGTCTGCGCCCCGAGCGCACCCCGAGATCGAGGCGCGTAGGTATAGCTCGCGTTTCGTCCGTTTGTATGAAGTTGGAGTACTGTATTATAATTGTACCGTGACCATACCAAAGATGTTGCGTAGCACTTAAGATGAAGTGCACCAGTAAAGTCGCTATAGCCCATCTAATCTAAGAGGTACCGTTTGACGTTTCATACTTTTCAAGAAGAAACAACTTTGTCTAGGCGTTATTAACAGAATTTCAATAACCTTTTCCGTAAAACCATGGAACCAATTTATACACGATATATGTTTTTTTCCAAACTTTGTGTCAAAGTCACGTAGTCAGGTCCTTTACCATAGTGTTAAGGTTCTTCAAATTCACTTGATTACAAATAATCGTTAAAATGAACGAAAAATCGAATCCATTAATAACGCGTCTTTAAGTGTTTAATAATTCTTAAAATTCATCTGCCATGTAACTGTAACGCATAATTAGAATTAAAATTATGCATGTCAATGTAATTTTAAACAAATCTTTGTAGGCAAAATTGTTCGTGTCCAAGTCTAGTGTATACTCACAAGTAGTAGTAACACCTATGATATGGTATTGCTAACCTATGATATTTTACACGGGCTTTTATAATAACACAAATCTGTAAAGCTGTAATCGATTAGTACATACTAAGAAATGCTATCGATATCTCTTAAGAATCGGATATTGTAATAATCGATTTCTTTGACCCCATCGCTATACTTCAATCTGTCACCACTGTCAAACGGTGTCAAAGTTGATGTCGTGATTATCAAGATTGAACGTTCTTACAGTAGGCACCGTGCCCGTTATCCACCGTGAGATCGATGCCAGAGAACTGAAGGTATTAAAAGGTAGGGATTAAAGCCTTACGAACTAGTTAGCCGTCGGTTTACGCAACGCGATATTTAAGCCTTCGGCGGTATTTTTTTAGGAGTTTTAATTTTATATTCTAAAGCATAAAATTATAAACTTTACGACAAGCGATACTTGTCATACTGTGCAGGCGCGTAAAAGGCTTCACGACTGATGACGACATTATCTGTCTGGTTATCCATCGCTATATTTTTGTATTACTCCGGTAATTAAACTGGGCCTTTTTCCTCTTAAAAATTCTTCTCTTTTTTCGTTATTATTAACGACTAACAACGTGTGGTAACGTTAATGTCGAATAATGAATGCCACACGATCTTTACTTATTATTAATATATAATGCGTACTGTCCGTATTTTTAAATATCACATGCAATAAACACATGTGTACAAAATTCTCGTACTTTATTTGCATTACATTCGTTTGTAGGTAGAACTTGTAGATTACAATTATGACTCTCTTGGCAGCAAGCTTGCTACTAGAACGGTCTGGGGCGAAATCCACGGACAATTGTCAGAAACAAGATAAATATGTCTGGAAAATGTGCCACAGTTTTGTACACTATTCTTTCCAGTTTGGTCTATTATATCGTAAAAAGAAGGTATTTTTTATGTAATATTATTTTTAGTACTGATACAGCTTAAACAGACAGCTTAATACGTGTACATACAGATTTTATACCACTATGATATTACACAAGTATACTATTGGTCAAATGGTACGTGGTGTAGTATATTTGCCACAGGATTATAATACGCATCATTTAATACAATTGCTCAGTTCACAAATATAATAAATATTACAAGGATGCGACATTCAAATGCCATATCTGCCATAATGAGAAGAGTGTGTATTTAAGTCGGCAGAGGACGCGACATTCAAGTGCCTTACCTGCTATAGTGAGAAGACTGTGTATGTAAGTGGGCAGCAACAGTCCATGTACCGGACAAGAGTAGCAATAGGCATATGCCAGACGAATTGAGACTTATAAAGTAGCAATTTTTGTCCATAGTAAGGTACTCCTTCATTATATCAGGTATACCGAGCTTTTTAGATGTTAATCTTTTAAGTTTAATATTTTAGGAATAACGAAGTAACAGAAAATGAGTTTATCTTGAAACAGAACACTAACGCATTTACTCTTAGTGCGTTGGTTATTTTTTTGTTTTTATTTTATACGCTTATGTATGTCGTAAACCGTATATATTTTCATTGATTAAATGTTATAATATGAAACCTCTGTGCCCAGAGTGCCTCTGTGCCTCTGTGCACCTTACGTTATTTCTGCACCATCCAAAGGTTGACAGGAAGAGAATGAGTTGGGCATTAAGTCCGCCTATGTACAAAAGTGCATAAAGTTTGAAGTAAATAAATAAAAAAGTGATATATGAAAATAAAAGTCTACATATTTGTACAGTTGTGTCGGCGGTTGGCTACAGTTGGGCAGTGCAAGCACAGTACCGGCAAACGGCGCAGCAGAAACAAGACTCTGCGGCGCCAATGAGCGGTACAGTCCACCAGTGGTGCTGTTCGCCGACCATGGTGCTTCTACATTAGAATTTAGGTAAGTATCTTTATTACTTAACTAAGTACTTTTCTATCTGTATATGAATATGTACCTGGTGATACGTCAATATTTCTAAAACTTTAATTTTCTTTCACCTTCGACCGATTAGTATTAGTCAGTGGTTCCAATATCAAATGCTGATTGCATTTGATGTTGGAACCATAATTATAGTAAAAAACGTCTATCGGGTCAGGTAATCACTATCGAGAACACTGTAGTGAATTATTATTTTTCATGTAACGGCCCTTTGATCCCAAATTAGACAGAGCCCCATACTATGATAACTATACTGCTAATTAACATACTTAAACTAAATGCATATATAGTATCTAAAATCTGCACCGAAACACGGTTGCTCCGTCTTTCGGTGCTTGATTGAGTTCCTCACGCTAGTATTGGTCCCTCGTGGGAATCGAAACTACCACCTGTTTCTTAGTAATCACTATCATTAACCACTAGTTCAACTTTAAATTGATCTGCATGATAAAGCTAAGTGCAATAATATCAGTGTGTAACATCATTTAACATAATTTAAAAAGCACATACATAGTCAATGATAAAAATCTAAAACATATTTCGTTAGTAAATGTACATTAAGGTCACCGAACCTATTACGTTCCACAAATAGTATAACGTAGGTTTTGGTTAAATACAGAAGTATTGAAAGCAGAAACGTTTATAGCCAACGAATCTTATAAACAGCCTACGTATTACATACGGTTGACTGTGCCGAACTCTGTAGGAATAAACTCGGTAAACCGCTAGATTTATGATTGCTAACAACGTAAACCTTTTCACTTTAATATTCACAATATGCAAGGTAACAGCAGATACATCGATCATTAAACGTGACCCGTTAGAGGCAATCCGGCAATATTTGCGCGGTAGTAATGAATCCAACCAAAATGAACAATAATTAATTACGTTTTCGTTCGCTAATGGGAGCGGCGAAGCTATGCGGCCGCGTGGAGCATTTCGGAATTTATCTCCATTTGCAGTTCGGTTCGGAAACGCGAGTTCCGGTAGTGAGCGAGACTCGGAATGGGAACAAAAGGTCGTCACAGCGGAACCGGTAATGCTCGATTTAGAATTGTGGCCGGTTGTCAGCGAGTGCTGCAAATGCTCTTGTCAACTGACGACGTTGAATTGCTGGATTTTATGAACTTGTAGCTTTGTGTGTGTAACTACTGACAAAGTACCGAGGACTCATCTTTTATTTATTTTTATTGTATTATATATTATAGTCTATATATATAGTCTATAAGATTATATAAAGTCTTTAAATGTACCTTGGTAAAAAGGTATGCCCCATTGTTTGTTTTTTTTTTCAGAGTAATATCTATATATCTGTTTCTGTAAGCAAATTTTTCGTTGGTAATTTATTAGATCAGCAAATAAATTATTGCGTGTCAACACATTTTTATTCAAATGCTAATGTTTTATTTTGTTTTGAGTGTATTTGTATATATCACAGTATAAAAATAGTTATGACCGTAATATAATTGAAATTAGAGGTACCATTACATACATAAGAGACCAGTACATAAGAGAGTTTGTCATGAAAGCAGTTCATATCTCACAATGATTATAATTACAGTACCTATACTGTAATTATAATCATTATAATAGATTCATTGATATAGAATCACTGATAATTATATTAGTAACTCATACCTATATGAGTAACTAATATAATTATCTTATAAGATTAAACTATCAGTTGTGAGTTTGATCACTGCTTTAATTCAACTCCAAATTTATTTTGTAACTTTTCTATACTGAACATGAAACCACATACTGTTTATTATGGTTCTGTAAATTCTAAAAAAAACACAAAGATTAGATTAATATAGAAGTAGAGACTTACTTTTCAAATATTTTTTTAATATATGGAAATCGTTTATAAAGTAGTCACTTTGGTCTTTGGTTCTTATTTTTGTAATGCAGAAAAGTGTTTTTATTATCGTAAATTACTTGAATGGCTACACTTTGACGTATAACAGAAGCGTGTGAACCTATAGTTTCACAGCACGGAAAGCACAAGTTCAGATTACATTCATAGTTCAAGCACTTACAGTATAACTATGGAAAAAAAATTGAAGCTTAATAAATTATGGTCGAATTTAGATCATGAGGCGTACTAAATTATTCCAGTACCGCATTTAGTAAAATGCTTGGGAATATGAAATATTTATACGGTGTAAAATTGATATTCAGCGTATGTTTTTCAAATAAGCCTATAAAAATTAATTTGCGTATGTTTCAATAGTTTCTAAGAAATCAAAACGGCACTTTTATCTGCCGTGACATAAGATTCATCTGAGTTATCGGCAGTATAAGTTTCAGCAGTCTAATGTAGTAGGTACACTCTCTGCCTAGTTTGGGATCTGCCGACGTGACGTGTCGTGACGACACAATCTCTAATTATTATTTTAATAATTTCTTGTATAACAGACATACTTGTACTTACCTACGTTCTTTGTTACCAGGATAACAGAAAAGACTGTGAGATCACAATTCCTTGCGTTCTTCAGTTTTACCTCGTTAAGTAATACCCAAGGTGTTGGATTTCACCCAAGGGGTGGCTCTCGTATACCACAGACAGGTAAATATGTCAATATTTTATTTCGATACTTATTTATGATGTTTTTCCTGGTAATACGTTTCCGATAATTCACGGGTCTTTATTATTATTTGTTTTTATACTAATCATGAACTAACTCACTAATAAACTATTTTTTCCTCTTTCTATTTGAGTTCTCTGGATATGTTGATAAAGTTAGTTACCTACGAAATTGTGTGATTCCAATAAACGTTTCGCAAGCTTTAACAATGTTTTGTTTTCTCATCTTTGTTCTTCATATTTTAAAGCATTGAACTTTATTTAAAAGTTTTATTTAAAACAAGATGACTAAGAAAACAGATCATCTCATATTATATATTCAATGATCCTAAAATAACAACTTGAGCAAAATTAAATGCTCTATTTACGTTAAGACTTCTTTGTTCTACGATTGAATAATTACTTATTAAGCAGATCATTGAAAGGCCGGGTCAAAATAACAAATGAAGACTGAAAGGTGATTCATTCTTCATTTGTTATTTAGTTAATATTGTTCACTTGCCCTTAATATATTTTCAAGCTTTTATTAAATGTAAAATGTAATTTGTGACGTGTAGATTATTAATTCAAATACTTATTTATACTTCTTTAGCTTTAGTTCCTTACAACTATATAAAATAAAGCTTCTAAACATACATACACAACAACACAAAAAAAATATGTAAAAACATGTAACTGGTAATTAACTTTATTATTTGTTCTTATCCATAACTTTTTAATACTGTTTGTTTTCCAAATAAAATAAAATAAATAAAAGCCAACCAATTTGAATAAATCAAAGGCAATCAATATAGAATACACTAAATTGACCTGGTATCATGAAAATTGGTTAGAAGCAGAGTATCAGAGCGTATCTAAGTTAAAGAAAAAATCGATCATAATATTATGATATGACAAAAAATCTTTGCGAGGCAACAATAGACCGGAAGGTATTTAGTGCCTTTATTTTGTCACCTAAAGGCCAATTCTTGTAATATAAGTTCAGTCAGAATTCGGAATCTCTCGGCATTTAATTTTGACCGAATTTTGATTACAAGAATTGGCCGTCTTTTGTATTGAAAGTGTCACAGGTATTGCAGTATTTTTATTAAATCTGTAAGCAATTGTTTTTCATTTTTAGTAGCGTTTGATAAGTACTTCTTCACATTTTCAGTCAGTAGTAGTTTTTAATAGTGTATATTATATATATATTTACGTAGCTAGAAACTTGAATATTTAGATAATATATAATCCAAATAAACAGTAGTAAAGTATTATTGAGTTAATAGAGTTTATTGTTTTGTTTTTCACCGAAGTAATAGCAATTTGTGAGAATTCATGAATTCTCTTAAATCTTCATATCGTAAATGTTTATGTTACTGAGTAAACAACAAATTTCTAGTTCTGAAGCATGTAGGTATGATGCTTAGTCACGTCATAAACACGGTATCGAGTCCGGATTGGCTGTCTTGTCACGACATTTTCGGCACACAAGTGTGCGAGCGACCCATGTCACAGTTAAGTTCATAATTATTGTTTGAACTTTTCCACTGTTATTTTATATAATTATTTATGTAACTCGTTGTAAATTTAACTTTAGTGCTTACGTTGTTAATCAACAAACGCAATTTTATAGTTAGCTTTTACCCGCTCGTTAAATGTAACTTGTCTATCCCTCAGAAACGGTATTTTCTCTTAATGAAAGTTACCGACTTTATAATTCTGGCCGTGAATATAAAATTTAATAATGGTCTAATAAACGGTACGGTAGTGCCTACACCCCATATAACACAACAAGGATTTTATGTACCTAAGCTATTAGATCATCATCAAATCAAACAGCCTTTACTAGTCCACTGCTGGACATAGGCCTCTCCTTAGAAAAGAGGTTTTTGTCTACGCTGGGCGGACGGGTAGGTATTAGGTCTGTTTCAAGTTTTCCTTCTCTTTGCAGTGCTGTTGTCCTTCGTAGTTTACTCCCTTAGCGGCTCCTACGACACCCACGGGAGTAATAGGGGTGACACTGTGTATTCTTAATCCGTTACCACACGGAGTATTATTAAAAGCAAGCATTATCCAGCTATTAGACTTTGTTTCAATTTTCGGCCCCTGTTTCAAAAACGACATTTCATAATTACGCGTTCGTTTAATAATTACCTAAAAATTTAACACTACCAAACATAATCCTACTTAATCTACTTGCGCAGTTCTGAGTTTTTTTTAAATATTTTATTTGTTGTTCTACGGTGCAATTTTAGATGTTTAAACCCTGAACTTCTCAAAACCATGGTTGAAAACAGAAGCATACCTTCTGTAAGTACCCTTTTTTTTCCGTACGGAAATCCCATCGGATACCACCTGTCGGTGGCATGTCCAACTCGAACCGACTAAAACCGCACGCCGTCTCGGGTACTAATAGCCGGGGAACCAGGTATACCCTAGAAAGGAAAATGTAACCGATTGCCCTAAAATCTTCAATCAGCTCAATGCTATTATTGCCCCTAGCTTAATTAAATTCATAGCTTAGTAGCATAGGAAGGAAGTCCCTGATGCCCCGACATACCTCGGGCCATCTACAACAAGTAGACGACCCCCCCCCCCCCGTATGGGAACCCTATGTTCCCTCTGCTCCCTGGAAGCGAGCGCGCTTCGCAACGCGCTCGCCGCCACTCCGGCCTACTTCTGCTAGGGTGACAGATGGCCTCACCTGTCACCCCCAGGCCTGCGCTTATGGAGGACGGAGGTCGTTCTGCCACCTCCGGCGCCTGAGTCGCCTGCGGTACCTGGCCCGTTCCCGGGCCTGGCGGGCCGGGAGAGTTCTAAACTTGTCCCGGTCCCGCTCCGCCGTCTCCTTCGCGAGCATAACTTGCTCGCAGAAGGAGACGGCAGTCTGTAAGTACCCTGGGTTAAGTATCCCTTATTAGCAGAAGGCCATTATTAAACCAACTGAACACCGAATTGAATATTCAATTTTAAATTGTTACCTGAGAGAAATTCATATATTTTATCTCATTTTAGTATTAAAGCGTATGAAAGCGTATGCAATAGTTAACAAAGAAAATAACTAGAAATCTTGGGTGATTCTTTTATTGAATAAACAAAAGTTTTTATTAAACAATATGAAACCGAAGGATATCAAGATAGCTCCTGGATGCCTTATTCATAAACCTCGAAATGGTGTCATATTTGTTACGTCCTTTTATTTTATCCGAAATACTAAAATATTGGAATATGCTTGGTACTTGCATATCATAGTACAACTATTAAGAGAAGTTGTATTATAATTTACGTTTAAGTCTCCTTAGGTGGCATCCTGTTATAACCTTTATTACAAAGTCTACCAGCAGACAGGGTCTAAGTGGACATAAGACTAAACTAACTAACTATGACTAAGCTAACTAACATTAAATTACTCTAACTGTAAAAGCTTTTATTGTGTCTGGTGTAGAAAAATAGCTAATTTATATCTAACTATTTTCTGTTTTCCTGTCTTGCCAGATTGTGACTGGTTGTACCAAGATGTATCATGCCGTGGCCCAGGAACGTGTGTTCTTGCCAGTCCTGGGTACCCTGGACTCTATCCACCTCATCGCCGATGTAGATATCTCTTCACCACTAACTCAGTACACACCAGGGTCAAGATTATATTCACATCGATATTATTGCCTAGAAAGTGAGTATCATTTTTACTTGTCAATGTAGTTAAGAATATTAACTTAGTTTTTGACTTCTTAGATCTTAGAATTCTTGTGTAATATCTATTTTACGCATTAAGACGTTTTGACGTGGTCTAATAAAATGAATGCTTGATGGGAATGGGTGTTGTCATTATCTTTTTACATTATCATGCACAATATGAAAGTATCCAAGCTCTCTCATTCATCTTATTAATTAAAAAATCAAAGGAAAATTACCATTTTTAAATGAGAATCCATACCAACATGCGTCAAAGTAAAGGCGATGTCTACTTTTTTAGAGACGTTGGTTTTTTATTCCGAGTAAAATTCGCCTTAGGACTAGCCTAAGTTTTTATATTATAATAACTAAAATTAGGAATTGGGAATTACTTAGATAGACTTTTTTTTTAAGATTTTAAAGCGAATCCTCCATAACGGGTCTTACTCGCCGCCTCAAAGGAGATCGTGCGGTATCCCCTTATGACCCTGATGGCCAGTACTTGCTGTGGTCGTCGCAGTAGTGCGACATTGCTGACCATAGCCCTTCATGGGCCCCAATATGGGCGAGGGTACTGAACCTCGCCCATATTGGAGCCCATGAAAGGCTATGGATCACACAACCACCGAGTACAGTCTGCTGCACGAGCCATCGGGTCCCTTCATGTTGGGCAGCAACCGCGCCAATACATGCTCTGCTGAAACCAACTTGGGCATCAGAACTCAGAAATGATGTCCGAAGTTCTATCGGCCATCGAGTACGAGCCACAGATACCTCATCGATGGCTCGATACCGATGCGAGTGCCTTCTACTATAAGGCTGGATCCGTCAGGTGGCTTTCTCCGAAGCCCATGAAAGAACAAGGCCTCGGATTTGTGCAGAGCCATATCAAGATGGGTCTCCCGCCATCCGCTCAACGACTTGGGCAACCCCGACCGTGGGCCTCGGGGTTGCCTTACGGTGCGTCTTGCCGCACGCCGTCGCGAGTGTATCGTCAGTGTAGCACGTGACGGCGACACCATCTAAAAAGGCACCACGAAGCACCCAGTCGTAGCCAATGTGCCACAAGCGTGGCCCTAAAACCGACCCCTGTGGAACACCGCACGACATTTCACGTCTACCGAGACCTGTCCTACTTGGTGGTTCGTATTTGGCCTCAAAATAATAACAGAAAGGTAATTTTTAAGAATATAAAACCAATAGTGAATATTTACTACCAAGAAGCTTTTGTCAGTGTTTAACCGTAGTTTCGAAATGTTCATAAAAGTTAGAAAACGCCTGATAATATTTTTTAGTAAGTGAATACATATAAAGATAGTTTTTAGGTTGCAATGCTGTGCTGTTGCAATATGGTGCATGTCTATATATGTATTTAAAACAAAAACTCAGTTCTGCAGCGATTGAGCTAAAATTTTGATACGATACACAACCCGCTTTAAATATTATTTTTATTTCTTTTTCGCGTCAGTTTTGTTCTCATATTCTCATCAATGCAACCACAATGTGTCACAGCGAAGCGTGTCATGGTACAGCTATTATAAAGAAAAACATATTTTTTGATCATTTTATATAAACTTGATCTAATAATAGACAAAGTTTATTTATTATTGACCAAAAAAAAATTGTAACTTAACATTTTTATTACTACCTTACTTACTGGATATTCTTAACGTGCACACTGATAACATAGAATAATAAAACTTAAGTAATAAAACTAAGTGCTGCTTAATTTGCATTTATATTTCTTGACCAGTGTCCCTAATTCGGGTAGCGATTACTTATCTGACCTGCCCCTACAATAAGTCGGGGTCATGTAATTTGAGTTGAACTCTTCGCCTCAAGTCGTATCGAACACGCGACACTTGCTTGCCAAGCAACAGAGTAACTTGAGTACTTCTCTTAAAGTACTTGTTTCAATTTTTAAGAGTAAAAATGCAGGTGACTCACCAACAACCCAATGCCCCGTATGTGGAGTTCCTTAATTAGATATAATTTGGGGAGGGATACCGCATTGCTCAATTTGAATACGATCTGTGGCAGCCACAAAATTAATTGTCGTATTTAATTCAAGCTATATTATAAAAATATACTGTAGTAATTACACGTAAAATAAACACCTAACGCGAGTTCTCTTCCTTCAAGAGGGCTTTCCTTCTGCGCTATGACTCGAACTCATGGCAATAAAACATATTACTACTACCTTTTGTCCGCGGCTCTGTCCGCGTATATATCGTTTATCGCGGTAAAAGTGTAGCTTATATTACTCGCTGAAAATGTAGCTTGCCGTTGGCAAAAGAATTTTTTAAATTGGTTTAGCGGTTTAGACGTGAAAGCGTAACGAACAAACAAACTTACTTTCACATTTATAATATAAGTATGGATAATCGATACGTGTTTTAGCTAACATATAACAACTAAGAGATCCTTTACCTTACATAAAATAAGTTTGCCAATCCTTATTAGCGAGCAAGAGACTTACAAGGTGCCTGCTCTATGTCTAATTAGTTTTTCTCTGAAATGCGACGTATCTTGAATATAAAAGTGACAGTGAACATTTTGATCTCAAGTCCCACTTGACACGTGTTGACACACGTCAACACAACAACAACAAAATACGTCACCTAGTTCATAATGAGTTGGCAAAATGTTACAACGCTAGTAGACTACGTATCTTAATATTTATTATAAATATTTCAGAAAAGTGTGACCGACAGTCACCGGCTTAGGCATGCAGTATTAATGAATGATTGGACTCGCTAGGAGAGTATTTTCATCAACGATAAAACCAGCACACCCAAAAATTCATTTTTTTCCCTGCGTTCCGTTTTAATAGGAATGCTAATAGCGCATACAGAGAGAGCTGTGTATCTGCGAGCTATAGGTAGGCTTCGGCACTCCAAACAGCTCTGTTTGTATCCGCTTCGGTTTAATCACCAACATCTCTTAAGACAGTTCCATCTCTCTTCGGTTCTGCATTCCCGTGCATATAAAAACGATAGCCTGAATATCTACTGCTACGTTAACTTAAATAATTAGAAGTGAATCATGATATTGGCCAAGCGAAAAATCAATGTCTTGAAAGGTTATTTCGTTTCTTATTTCAAATCAACATAAGGTTAAGGTTAGACCTTTACTACAGCATATATTTACTAATTTTAGCATTATTTAATCAGTACACCGTTAGTAGTTATTATAGGTACATCACCATTTTATAAACCTTAAAATTTGTTACAAATTTCTGAGGAGCTGTTTAAAATAGAATTAGGAATTTCAGCTGTTGATAATGGACTTATACTTGTATTTTGTTCATTATAACTTTAATTGGTATATTAATTAAGTCAAAAGTCCCATTAACTTAATCTCTAGCTGTTATGCTTGGACGGTCATAAGAGAAAATGATTTCCTCCGTTGTTAATATCAGTGCCACACACCAGCTCAGTTCTAGAGACACTCAAAATGGTATACAATTGGCAATTATATTACGTATTACTAACTAGGACCCATGGGATCGAAGACGATAATAACAGGACAGACATTAGGGTCGGTCGCAAGCGCTCGCTTTCTTGATAAGATTTCCTAATACGTTTTCCGTGTTCGCGCATCCGTAAGAAGGCATCCTCTACTCATAGATGATGTACATCCTACATGACGTACATATTCGATTTTCCTTTCGGCAAAATGAAATAACTTAATATAGGTAGGTATAAAAAAAATTGGAGTTTTGCCAATACGGTCACGTAGACTTCTATGTTACAAAAATGTTATAAGGTGGAATATTTGCGTATTTGCATACCAAGTCAACAACAATGCATTCACTGATAACAACATTTGTCTAATTGAAACTTTGTACCATTTTGAGAACGCGTTATTCAGGTCGACTGTAAACAATGTTAAGCCTCAATACAAAGCGTTGGGACTGTCATGTTTAGATTAGCAGTGAAACCCTCGTCATCATCGTTAGCATCTAAGCTATATGATGTCTAATGAAAAAACAGCAAAGGAGAGATAATATCTATTTTATAATAAATTATTATAGAGTATTTACAGGTTTGTATCGAGAATGAGGTAAACAATTGACATTAATAATATTAAGTTTACACTCTAGTATTAGATTTTTTTTTTCACTTTGAAGCTTGCGCTCAATATTTGTAAGAGAAATTATCGTTTAATTCCTATTATTTTCGTGTTTTTTGAAGAGAATGCTTAACTTTAGAACTCGGAGAACAAGTTATGTTTGGTATTTATTTCCTTTATTAATTTAATTAAAGAAATTAATATTAAATTATACCAATTTTGTCTCGATTAAATCATTTCAAGTAACTTAAAATGCTTACTTATGATTCTAGGTAAATATATTTTAATGAGAATCCGTAACAGTGAACATCGATTTGATAGCTCAGTTTTCAGTAATAGCATATAATTTTCTTTTCCATGAGTACAGAAACAATTACACCATATTAACAACGTAATCCAAACATCAGCTGAAATTGTAAACACATTTATACAATGTAACTAAATATATTTAAGTGTACATATACTGTGTACATATTTAAGTGTATATGGAGTCAAAATAGTAAGTTTTAAAACTAAATTGCGGTTAGCCGTGTGGAAGCGTGCCGTTGCGGCTCACCGCAGCGTATATGGTCAGCCGCAACGACACACGGCATTCCAGCTACCTGCGTCATTTTGGTTCTATTGCGGTCCGCTGCAATCGTCAGTGCTTCTAGAAACATTGGACATGCATATATATGTAGCAAGACATTCTTTAATATCTAAAATGAACTCTTCCGTGTCAAAACCCATTATAAACATGCAGCATGACAGCACAGGCTGACCGCATCGAGTGCGTTTGAACTATGCGGTGGGCCGTTCAAACGGAGAAGCTCGCCGCAGCCTCGAGCCAACCGCAACGGTAGACGGCTGGCCGCACGTCAGTGCGTTGACATCATGCGTTTATATATAAAAATCAATGTGCGGTGAAACGCAACGGCACACCGT